ATTATTATTAAAATAGTTTTTTTATTAACACAACACCGACATACAATTCTGTGAGCTACAAAAACAAAAATTAAAATTACCTTACTTCCTAAGCCGAATACGACTTTCTGAACTGATGATAAAATGATTTTATTGAAGGCTTGTTTTCTTTAGTCGCTTGTTTTATTTAGAAGGCTTCTTTTCTTTAGTCGCTTGTTTTCTTTAGCAGGCTTGTTTTCCTTAGTCGTATTTGAAATTTACATGAAATTTATATTTGATTATACATAACTCTCAAGCGCTTTATTGCAGAACTTTCTAGAATTATCTGTTACCATAAATAGATCTATTTAAGTCCTTCAAGCTCCTTTTAATCGCGTTTTGAAATTTACGCATAAGCTTTGAATGATATATAAAATTAAACTAACTGAATGATAGATATATCAATTGAGCTAACGATTTTAGTTGTTGCATATGTAATAAACGATGCATTATGACTTAGCCATCAGCGTACCAGCAATAGACGTATTTACAGTAAAACAGGAAGCGAAAGTTAGCAAATTTTAATATGAAGTAAAAGTAAAATTTGACTTCTATAAGCAACAGGCGTTATTGTCACTACCTTCGTTCGCTCAACCTACCGTATAAAATTTCCAATAGCTGTTTGTTCAACAGGAAGTTGTACGGAAACTCTTTGCCACATGATGGAAACTTATTCAGATCGAATGTATAACACATTACGGATTGTACTATCATGCACGTAATATGCTAAAATCCTTTGCAATGCGAATACAAAAAAACAAAAAAAGCAAAAGGAAAAAAAAAATACTTTTGCCCTACAAGTGTAAAGTTTTGATTATGAACAATCATGTACACATCCTGTTGTACATGACACTATGCAATTTAAAATTGAAAATTTTTAACACAGTGGCATACAAAATAATTTATATAAAATCTTGATTATGTCTGTGTGTGCAGTAAAAAACGTATCATGTGACTTTGACAAATTACAAAGCATAACAGCAAACAAACTGTTGAGACAGTTAACACTTGAAGACAACAATAACAATAAATAAATAAAAAAAATAAAAAAAAAAAAATAAAAAAAAAATAACAAAAATAGGAAGCAAAGCATAAACATTTATGCAAGTGTGCGTTGGCAAGCCTGTGCATCACATATTTAACTTGAAAGTCATCTAGAAAGAAATGTATTTCTCTCCATACGATTTTCATAATAATGTACATTGCATCACATTGCTGCACATGGAAGTAAATGGAAGATAGAAGAGACACTGGCAAGCAAGAGCAAAGTCAATGACATGCAAGGCACATATGGTTGAAACTTGATGTATCATATTATATATATGCTGCTTTTGTTTCTAAGCTTTCTACATTTTTTCTTTCTTTTTATTTTTTCCGTTCCAACACCTCTTATACATTCGAAAAGTGATAGAACTAGGACTAGCAATAAATCATTATTCTTTTTCTTCTTAAATAGAAAGCATTATATATATATATAAGTTTATTCATTCATATTATAAATAATGGCAGAGAATGTATGTAAAGGAAAAAACCAGAAGAAGAGTTCACCAAAAATCCAGAATGAAAGAAAAAATTGTTGTTAGCAAATTCGTAAAGACACAAAAGGCATCGGCTGAGAAAACTTAAGATGAATGTGCAGCTTTGCACACAAAATTTAAATAACACATATCAAATATTCTCACTAACACAGATTATTGCCCGTAAAACTAAGCCAACTTGAAGGCAAATATAATAGTAAAAAAAGAAAAAGAAAAAAAAAAACAAAAAAAAGAAAACCATGTTATTGTAAGCTGCAGCTTTGAAGTTAAAATCTAATGCATAAATTCTGGTCTTTGCTTTTTTTTTCTTTCTTTCTTTGTTTTTTTTTTTTTTCTTATTTTTGTGGCTTAAAGAAACGCCAATATTTATAAATGTGTCTGAATCTTTTAGAAAAACACGTCTTACAAAAATGTAAATATGTGCTGATGCGGCATATGAAAGACTCTGCTTTCATATAACCAGCACGCTCGCCCTACATTATATATCTACATTTCACAGCAATTTTTATAAGAAAATAACTTGCATCCAATCACTATCAATACCAATGACGGCAATAGTAATACAAAAAAAAAAAAAAAAAAAATTATTTCATTTTACTCGCATCTTTCTATGCACTCCTACTATCCTACTACTGTCCTTCTGACATTCCATATGACATTATAATGAATTGCACAAGTCTATATAAGACTATAATGGCGAAGACGTTTGATTCTATATCTATTTATCTTTTATTTATATATTTGTAAAGAATTTCACTTTCGCTGCGCATCAACTCATCAAAGAATGCGGTTACGCTGAGAATTCCTTCAAATCATTTGTTGTCTAAATCATTGATTTCAAATTAATGTCAGTGACTTATTTGCTTTATTTTATACAAAAACATATCTCGATTGAAACAAAGAACCGCACACTTTATACTTTTAATTACTTCAACTAACTTGATATCTTTAAAGAATTTTTTTTCTTGCTCTACTTTCATTGAGAAAACATTAAAAGGCCGCTCATTATGGCTGTGCGAGCCTTTCATCCGCTAATATCCATCTTTGCTTACATATACCTTCAGACAGAAGTTATCTTTTATATATATATATATATCACTGTATGTATCAGCGTTTGTAGCCGTATAGAAACAAATATTAAATCAGACATGTGACATTTGACGCTTGCATCTTTGTCTCGTTATTCACTTTAGCCGCGACTGCATTAAAAAAAGAATTTTTTTGTCCTTCATAAAAACACGAATTATATTTAGCCGGAAATCCTTAGCTACTATTATTCCTGCTCCCTACTTTGTTAAGAACATTTGTTATATTTATAAGAATTAAGAAAGATTAACTAGAAACCGTCCATTCAATAAAGAGATAGAGAATATAATGAAAAGAGCAAAATTGCATATCTAATTTAAAATGATACAAACTTTACCTCTTTAATGTGTAATTTTTTTAAATTTGCTTATCTCATAGCTATACATATATATATGACATTTTCCCAGGAGCTATGTACTAGTTACTATTTAGTAGTCATGTATTGAAGAAAAACTTGCATAATTGCATAAATGACTATAACCAATGCCGTAAGCCATATTCAAACAAAAACACAAGCACACACATTTGTGCAAAGAGTTAAAACTATCATATATGTTAAATAGGTTACATACGCACATTCATTAATTATTATATTTTCACATTTCAATGGCTTTTGTTTACAACAAGCCACTAGTATCCATTCTTCGCCACTTAAAGTAGCTCTTAAATTATTCTCATGGAGAGCACATTTTCCAAATTGGATCAGTTATTATTCTCTCATTCTAAAGTGGCAGGGAGCAACCTTCAACTGCTTGATGGTTACGAAGGGTACATTTTATAGATGTTGCTTCTGCAAGAGTTCTTGTCTCACCTTAAATAACATAGCTATCGTATTTGAAGGTTTTATGCATTGCTCGTGTATGAATCTCCCCCACACGATTTCTTTTTTCAACTATTTGTATTTTTTTGCTTCATGTCAGCAGCTTGTTCCGCCACACGTATATATTACCAAATGAACTCGGAGATATATCATATGCTACACTAAACTCGATTCTTTATACAAAGGTCAAAGAACATATAGGCAGGACTTCCCATATCTCATGTCATTACATATATATCCAGAATTCTTTATCAAGATCTACTATAATTTAATACAATTCTGAGATTTAATAATCGATACACAAAAACTGTGCTGCTGGCTCGGAAAAAAGTTACTCGTTATATATCTGTTGACCTAAGGATAAAGAGAATTATGATGGCAGGTCTGTTTCATGGGTGCCCCCAACTCCAGTTAATGGTGAATTTGTTTGTAATAAGGCATTTAGTCAAACGACATTTAACACATTTTAAATTCTATCAAATGAACTTTCCTTAATTCGCCCGTTTCGCCTATACTGCGTCTAAATTAGCTTTCTCTCTCTCTCTCTCTCTCTCTCTCTCTCTCTCTCTCTCTCTCTCTCTCTCTCTCTCTCTCTCTCTCTCTCTCA